AAAGATACTATGTTCCATCACTTGAATATATTAAAAGGCCATTAGCATTTTATTTTATTTTTTGTATCTGGACATCAAACCAGATTGCCAGTAATTTTTCCATTTTATGAAGGAGGCCTTTGCTGCCTAATTATTACAGCTTTAAATCCTGTTGATATTTTCACTGTTTCTTTCACACTATCTTTATTATTCAAGATCATTGAAACAGTTAAATGCATCAGCTCCAAGTCACATTCTATCACTTTAACTTTTTTTTTTACCAGCTTCATAACCATTTGTGATCTCATTTCATTGCAAGGTCCAAAGCCTTCCTTTAATTCTTAGTGTTTCCTCCAAATGAAATCATAATACTCTTCTTTTTTTGCCAACATCTTGTACTATGCAGTGCATGATAAAGTACAAATTTTTCAACAAAATATGTAGTTCTGGAAATTGTGAATGCATCATGTAGTGGATATTGACTGACTGTGGAAATGAGACTAAGATTAAGAAAAGGATTCTGAGACTAAGATTAAGAAAAGGATTCTGAGACTCAGACTGAGAAGGGGATTCTCCCAACTGGAGAATTGGTCATAAGTCTGAGTGGTTGTTAAGCAAGCAGGAATGACCATATCATTTTCTTAGAAAATTTTGTAATTTTGTAAAAATTTTGATTATTTATCAAATAATCAAAATAAAAATTTGATTATTTATGGATTCAAGCTATATTTTCTAAAACTCTTCAATATTATTTTTTCTCAAAATTTCTCATAAAATTGTCTATATTCAATACATTCAAAAGAATTATTGTTTAATTTTATACTAATTATCACTTTTTAATATTTTATTCATTACTGGGTTATCTAGTTTATATTTTCCTGAGGTATGAGAAAGGATATCAAAAGACTCGTTATTGTATAGTTTGAGAACTGAGGGGGTTAGTTGTTTCCACTTACCGGCAGCTCTGTCAGAGGATGGCTTTATAGGAGAACAAAATAAAATGAGTGGGGAGGTTAATGAGTAAATTGACAGGTTCCCAAATAAATACACAAGTTGAACAAGAATAACACATTTAATAAACAACTATAAAATTGTACATATCAAAGGCGAAGGTAAAGAGTTACAAAACTCCTATTCTACGTCACGACAATGATTCGTCTTTCATATGGAACACTAATCTAATCTCTATTCTCTAAGTTAAGTTAAGAGACAAGAGAGACCTCTAGGAGAGAGACTTCGCAGAGAAAGAGTATACAAATAGATATCCAAAAAAAATACCTCTAAGTTTCCAATCCGTAATATGGGTCGTTGGCGAAAATGTTCCTGGATCATCATGGCTGTTATGGCAAGGTAGTGACGGATAGGGTGGCGGTATGGGTCAGTAGATGTGGCAGTCAATGTCCGCCCTGGAAGTGTCCGCGCTGGAAATGTCTGCCTTGTGGACTGCATCCAATTCCTCTTTATACTATTTTTGAGGGGGTGAGAACTATGACATCATTAATGATTTATACGCATACCTGTTCGTGTGTTGATGTCTGGATCTAGCTAGTACAGACCACTGGCACAGAGAAGTTTGTTTAATTTATTGATATCAGTATCTAGAAGACATGATTTTATAATATAAATTTCTATAGGTTTGACGGCTCTCATCCATAAATTAACATTCAGCTGACAATAATTTCTGTAAACTGATCAACAATCTAGATATTGTTTATATTAAACGTCGTGTCTACGAATGAGGCGCTTTATTGCTGTAACCAAAGAGGGGGTAAAAAACATCTCTTATTCCCGTCTTGTTGATATTAATGTCTATAGAATTACCTTTAAACAAATGGAGGAGATTTCTTTTATTGATATACTAATGATTTTTTCGAGGAGATCATCTCGGTCATTGACCGCAGAAGGCCCCCTTTTTCCCTTTTTACCTAATCACGAGGTTTATTAGAAAGGTGATACTGTTCTAAAACAAAAGGGTTTTGGACCATCACAATAGTCTTAAACTGTATATTAATTTTACAATTATACTCCTGGCAATTTTATCAAATGTATTTTATATTTCCACTAGCTTACCCATCACGCATTGCTGCAATCTCAGAAGAAACAAAATTCAAGCAAACTCGTTATAATAAAATTCAATTTACATTTTATCATTTTTATTCAAACTTATTATTATTCATTTTCATCAAGAAAACATTTCAAAGTGTCATTTCAATTCTATTTATTTATTGGAGTGCTTGTGGATACACGATATTTTTTGTTTTTCCATCTGGTGCGTACACGAATAAATCAGGTTTTCCGACACGTGAGCTGGCCACATACAGTTGTCCATGTGAGAAGCATGGATTCTCCAAATCTAGCCCACACACTTGCAGCGATTGTCAGAAGTGCGATATTCCCCATTTATATATATATATTTTTTAATCCTTTACAATTTTAATTATTTAATTGCTCCTTCCTCTCTTCCTTGGCATGTTGTGAAATTTCTGATAGTTGGATGATAAACCGTTTTATTGTAATTTGTCTTTTTAAATTATTGTGAGTCGATATTAAAATTTGGGAAAGGAGGGATCCCTAGATTGGTAAAATAGGCAAATTTCCTCCTATAACTTTGGTTGTTGTTCGGGATACAGTTAAGGTTTTAACAAAGTTTGAGCAAATACATAATTAGCAAAAAATAGTTGAAATAAAGTGATTAAACAAAAATTATTACAAATATCGTAAATAACAGTTCACAAATGCATATATATTTTTCGGAGGGGGAAATGGTCTTCACAATTTGAAATCGATTGAACTCACGATGAAATGCTTGTATACATTCATGCCATCTATCATAGGATAAATGTACTATGCCATAAACTTTGCGGGAGTATATTAAACAACTTCCCAAAGTTTCATGGCAATCAGATAAATAGTGTGGTAATGCATGAAGGACAGACAGACAGACATACATACATACATTCATTTTTATATATATAGATTATTGAGATGGAGCATTAGCAAAGCTTCTTATGTGACTTACAGAATTGTGTTCGTTCTCAAAATCATTCAATCAATTTTTATTAAACTTTTCCACTTTCCATTAATTGTGATGAGGAATCCAAAAATTTAATAAAAAATGGGGTCTATGACTTTGTTTTCAAAATGTAAGGTCATTTCACAAGCATATATGACAAAGCAATATCTCACAAATTGCTCAACTTTGTCATGTGATGTTTCACAGTCTCTAACACATCTTCTATGGGCTTTGCTATAGAATCAAGTTTGTTCTCAAAATTTAATGGACTGATTTTGATAAAACATTACTATTTTCAATTATTTGTAGTGAAGAATCCAAAATATATTGAGGGTCCATTTAAATGTAAAAAGTAGGAGTCCATGAATTCGTTTTCGACATAAGAGGTATTAAAGTGACAATGTCCATATTCACTGATGCAACTGAGTGCATTTAACAGAATTTAAGCCTAGGAGCCAAAAGTAAAAATAGCATTGCATGTGCCTAAAGGAAAATAGGTGCAAAAATGAACAAAACACAAGAACAAAGCAATCAATGACAATTGCTTTGTTCTTGGATTGCCTCTCCATGTAAGAAAGTACAAGGATAATATCTCCATACCTAGCCAGTGCAAGGATCATGTTTCCTGTGGCTGGCAGGTACTGTACAAGGATAGTGTCTTTTGTGGAGGCAAGGGCAAAGTTCACCTGTCCACGTCTCAGGTACATGGATCACCTCTTCTGGCACTGCTTAATTCTATTGCGATATAACTATGACAAAGTTGCACCATGTCCTAGTTATTATTATTATTATTATTATTATTTTTTTTATTATATTTGAACTTCCAAATAAAACAAAACTAGAAACCAAATTAATGAACACAATAACTGTAAAATTTGAGCAGAATTCAGTTTAATAAAACTAATGCATGGCATAGTTTAAATTTGTATTCATTCCCTTTCTAGTCACATTCCAAAAAAAATCCTTGTGCAAATACTTCTTTTCAAACAATCCAACTTCCTAAATATTTTATTTTTGAATTACAGCGGGTGATCGGATAACGAACACTTTCGCGAAAGATTTTTATGATCGGACAATGAACACATGTTCGGATAATGAACACTTCACTGAACAAACACAAGAAGAAGCGACGTAAAATAACGAATACCGATTGGTCTTCCTTTGTCTTCAGGCAACAATTCAAAACTTTTCGAAGCGCGAGAGACGTCGACATCGACATTCAACCCAATATATACTGATCGGATAGTATTCCCCCAAACTTTGAAACTCTCCCTTGTAATTCCAGCCTTTTATATTTCTGACAGAAACAATTCTTTTACATTTTTTTCTGAAAATGCAGATTTATGCCGATATCTGCTATTAAAGATCTTTTGAAGAAGTGGGAGGATGTCAGAACAATGGTCTTAAAATGGCATTTAAACCAGGCTAAGGTTAATAGGCCTAAGGATCACTACAATTATAATGCTATTAATTACTTCTGAAAAATCATGAAGAAGACAGAAGACATTGGACAGATTCTTTAATCCCCACAAACGGAAAAAACATGACTAATAAAAATACAAGACTGTGTGTATTGTACGTGTATTTTTATTATTACATATGAATAAACATAGTAAGAAAGTATATATTTTTTTATTTTTGGGGGGTCTCCAGAATGAATCAATCAAATTCCCATAGAAACCTATAGTAAATTGATAATCGGTTAATGAACAATTTGGATAGCGAACAAAGTCTTGGAACGGATTATGTTCATTAACCGATCACCCACTGTATATTCTATTTTTTTATTTTAAAAATGTACATGAACATTAAAGTATGGTTGAAGACATTAGTTTTACTAAATTGAATTCTACTGAAACATCATTAGAATTGATATATTTTAGATATATTTCTTACAAGTAAAAGTTAAATGTAGAGTAACTATGTTCTTTTCAATTTATTTTAAATTAAATATATGGATATGTATTATGAAGATTACAGCAATAAAACAAAAATTAATATTTTTCAGTACCACCACAAATAATTCAATTGGAAAATACTGTTGAAGTCACTGAAGGTGAAGAAGCTGCTCTGACTTGTGAAGCAAATGGATCTCCCCAACCAGAATATACATGGCTTGATCCTGTAAATATAAAATATATTTAAGTTTAATGATTTTTATCATTATTAATATTCAATAAACATGATTATTTTAATGAATACAATAGAAAAATAAAATGGGCATAATATACTGGGTGATCAAATGAAAAAGAACACAAATAGCATGAGGCATTTATTGATGCCTTAAATCAGCTATGCTTATTATTGTCTTGCTATGCATTCAGAAAAATATTTAAATCTTGGAACATTATTTACTATGGACTCAAGGAATAACATTAATAAATTAGGAATAAATTAAACATAAAAAAATATAAGATATAAATAAGTAAATAAAAAATTCGTGGACAACTGTTATAAGATCAAAATGATTCTTTTCATAGCTGTATGAACAGAATCATAACTTCTAAACACACCCAAGTGTTTTGAAGTCTTTTCTCAGATAACTGTTTGTTTATGACAACTGGCTTCTGTTGTAAATAAGCCCTATGAACAGTCATTTATGAAAAAAGTTTGTAAATTTAAAACACAATAAAATAGTGTAAAAATGTAAATAAAACTTAATAAACACTAGTAATATAACAATTATTCGGTTACTATTTGGTATTCGGCCTATTTCTTGCTGTTCAGCCAAATACCGAATATTTAATCACTATTTGGCCGAATACCGAATACCTAAAAACAGGAGTAAGAAATAACAAAAACACAGTAAATTAATCATTTTGGTATTTAGATTTAATGTTATCAGGTTAGTGTTGTTTGTTTATATTTATTTATAACTTATAACATGCACAAAATAAAAAAGAAAATAATATTAGTCACATGTATTCACAATTTATAATTACAAAGATCAGCACACGTACACACCTATTCGTTTGAGAATCGTCGCACAGCTGAGGGTCTGACCCTGCCTATCCTT